CCCCCCCCCCCCGGGCGCCGTCCAGGTGAAGCTGGAGCTGGGGCACCGAGCCCAGGTCAGGAAGAAACCCACGGTGGAGGGCTTCACCCACGACTGGATGGTGTTTGTCAGAGGGCCCGAGCACAGCAACATTCAGCACTTTGTGGAGAAAGTCGTCTTCCACCTGCACGAGAGCTTCCCCAGGCCGAAAAGAGGTAGGTGGAGCCCGCCGCGGACCGTCCCGACGGGACCGGCCTCCTGCCCCCGCCGGCGGCGGCCTCCCCGGTGCCGGGCGGCCGGGAGCGGGGTCTGCCCTCCCGGACGAGCGCTTCCCCGCCGCCTCCGAGCGGGCGCAGCTGACGGGTCCGTGCCGCTCTCGGTAGAGAACAAAAGCCGCCGTCGGTGCGGTGGTGGGCTGCCGGTGGCCCTTCTCCCGCCCCGCTTGGGGCTGCCCGGGGTCGGGGGGGGGGGCTCGGCTCCTTTCTGCCCCTGCCGCTTTCCCGCACTTGCTGCCGCCGGGGATCTCCGCTCGGCCGCCCGCGGTCGCGGCTCCCGGGCTGGTAGTGGGTGCGGGTCCCGGCGGCGGTGGCACGGGGCTGGCCTCTGTCTCGGGGTAGGTCTGCACTGGAGGTTTTTGCTCACGTGTTGCTTTCTTCTGGCTGGCATTGCTTTCTCCCCGTGTACTAAATGTCTGACTGGGACAGGGATGCCTGGAAACTTGTTCCTGCTCTGATCTTGGTATTTGGCGTTTGGAGGCCCCCAACGCTTTGCTTTCTGGTTAGTTCTCTAGTTCACCGTCAGGGCTTCAACCTTGCCTTAGTAGGTGAAAACTTCTCGAAAGGTGCGTATGTGTGGTGCATAGGTACCTGCCTAAGTTGGGCAGGGAGAGGTGTAAGAAGCCTTTTGTTTTCACATCCCATTCCTCAACCCTTACTGTCCTGATTATTGTAGTTGGATTAGTAGAGATTACAGTACAAATAAAAGTAAGCAGGTTTATTTGTCTATGCAGGCACAATGGTTAGTAGTTAGCTTTCATTTGATCTGTAATCTTTATTGGCATCTAGAACTCCTGCAGCTTCCTAGAACAACATCATCATAAATCCTGTCTGCTTAGATCTAGGTGGGGAAAAATTGAGCGTTCAGGGAGCAAAAGGCAGGAAATTTTTCAGTGTTGAGATAAAAAAACTTTTTTTGAGGTAAGGTAAAAACATGTAGTTTGATTTAGTGTTTCTCTATTTGAAGATGCTAAACTGTGACTTTTTTACTTCAATTATTGTGTTTCTTCCCTTAAGCAATGGAGTATAAGAATTGCAGTATTTCAGCTGCTGAGATTATCTTCTGAAGTATAAGCTATTAATTCCCTTTATTATATAGAGTGGATAAATTTTTAAATTACTGTAAACCAGCGCAGTACTGCACAAACAGTTTTCAGTGTATCGTGTACTACTGCAGTATTTCTGATGAATTAAACTGCCCGGATTGCACTATAGAGTCTTCCTCCTGTTTTCTTCTATTTCTTGTACAGGAAAAACGTGACTTTAAGTCAGTCTAAATAGTTTGGCAGAGAGACTCCTGAGAACACATCTGAGTAGTCTAAATAGGTGAGTTAGCATTATCTGTATTCAGTGAATTGGATGATGTATTGAAATCAGCGGTAGGAAGTACATTTAGTAGTTCAAAGCTTTGTCTGCATACAGAGTGTTTGTGATGCTCTCTGCTTTTATTACCCATGCTTTATTTATTTATTTACTTGTCTGGCCTGAGGGAACATGACTCTGTAGCCCAGACTTGGGGGTTGATTGCTAGGTGTGGTGTGGAGCTTGCTAATAAGAATGTATTTTAGGACTTTGCGAGTGAAAGATGCATGGTTTGCTGCTGGGAGTGCTTTGTGTCTCCAGCTGCTGAGTTTAGTTATGCAGTCATTTAAGCCATTGTTTTAAAGTGTTTATTTTGGGGTTTTATTTGTATGCATCATTTTCATGATGTGGCAACTGCTGGGAAAGATGCCAGCTTCTATAGCCTGGGAAGGGACTTGTCATACTGTGATTGCACATGACTTGGATTGTAGGAGAACACCACAGCCGCTCTTATCCAGCAGAGTGTAAGCTCAGATGGCGAGCACTCCATTCACTTCTGGGCTTTGCTTTACCTCCTAAAACTACATCAATGAGCAAAAAATAGATGCTGAAGAAATTTCAGGCCCCTGAAATCACAGTGGGAAAGATGAGCTTTGTGCTGTGGAGAGTGATCTGTGTATGAATTGCCTAGCACATTTTCTGCTGTTCAGAAGCACTTAAGTGTGGTGGTGATGTATGCCTTGTAAATGGGAGCATTTTGTTTGTCTTTCTAATTTTCAAATACAGTTAAAATTTTTGGCAAAAGTATTCTAGGTTTTCTTGGCTCTGTAAATCAGTGCTGTTAGTTTGATTTGACTTCAGATGACTTTCAGGGTGGTATCTTAAGTGTTGCATATTTAATGGGAATGATATGCTTGCTTGTGGTGTTAGTCAAAATACCTGTTTTCCATCACTGCTTCTAAAGTTATATCCTTTATTATTTTAGTATATATATATAAGATAACTTACCAGTTGGAGATACTTGGTAGGTTCTCAAACTAATCCTGAGCCATGGGTTTAGCAAGCTGAAGTAGGTTTATAATATTAATCAAAACAAGTACTAGTATGCTGACTAGCCATAATAATGGTTCTCTAGTAAGTGATCTTTTTATCTCTGATTCATGCTGTGAATGGCTGCTGTGACATGTATGCTTGCTAGGAAAATTTTTAATTCATTAAGTCTATCTGTAGAGCTCATGGATCAATTTGAAATTAATAAATGAGTAAGCTATCATAGGTGTTATTAGCTCATAATGTGTTTCTTTTGTTAGATCCCTTTTTATTAGGGGCATAGTTGTCCCAAACACCAAGGGGGGCAAGGGAGGTGAATTATTTTCAGTGCATTTTTTATGTGTGTTCGAGAATAGCTGGATAAACTCAGTTTCTGGCTACAGCTCTGCCTTTGCTTATCTGTTCTGGCTATACTAGGGATTTTGAAAGTACTAGAGGTTGGTGGTGACTTTGCAAAGGTGTGTGTGTCCAAGTGTTTGTTCTACGAATAGTTGCTGCAGAGGGAGCAGGGTCCTGTACCCTGAAGTTTTAAGGTGGAAACACAGCTAGGAACAGTGTTCAGTTGTTGGAGTGCAGAGCAGGTTGGTTTGTGTGTGTAGACAGGATGGCAAGGTGATGGTGACTAACAGGGAACAGTGTGTAGATAAGCTTGAGTGACCTAAAAATAGTTTCCTTTGTCTTTCGCTGTGTGTCACCTTAAACTTGAGCTTGGCACCGGTTTTGTTGGTTTTTGTTTGCCTTATGGTGACTGAGTGCTTCAGCTTATTCTTGCACGGCAGAGCATAGAGGCATTCGCAGTGACTGGTTCCCCATACTTCCTCCCATTTAATGGCCTGCTCCAGCCACCTATGAGTAGTTTCATGGGGGATGGCTACAGGATGGCTTGTCGCATTAAAGAAAAGTAGACTCATGCCCAGACTTGGTTTTGAGTAGAGTTTGCAAGACGAAAGCTCTCTAAAATCATCACGCAACCATCGTGATGCTGATGTAAGTTGGTTAAGAGAAGACATGGAGAATTTCTAAGATTCTAGCTTTATTTCAAAGTGTATGTTGCTTACTTTTTATTATTCATGTGAAGAAAATAGTGCTGCGTGTAGAAGTGCAGTATTTTAAATCATGTCTGTGGAACAATATTTGTCACCAGGTTATTGTTAGTTTTGATCCGCTGTGATACTGCCTCCAAAAGAGGAGCTGTTGCTCTCATCTCATAATGTGTCTCATTATTTCTTTGAATGCTAAGTAATGTAGAAGTATTTTCTTCCTCTTCTTACCTAAGGAGTGCTGGTGCTCTACAACAGCAGACTGACTTACTATTTGTCTTACAGTATTTCAGTTGGATAAGGAAACACATCCCTTGAGTTTCAATGACTCATAAGTACATGTCAACTACATTGGAACTAGTGTGGCCTGAGTAGTTAAGTTTCTATTAATCAGTGGTGTTTTGACAAGCTAAATTTTTTTTATTAAAAAACAGATGGGCTAATATTGCTGTGCTAATAATTTAGTCAATATGAAGACGGTGGTTTGGACACTGGAATGTTGTAACTTAAAAAGTGAGAGGTGTTGCTTTCCTCTGTGGAGCCAAGGAGAACAATGCTTACTGCATCTCATAGTTCAAGAAGTTTTACAATGGTATGGCGAAGTAGTGGAATTGGAGCTGCTTGTTGTTCTGCTGTGGGATGGACCAAACTGTAATGTTTTTCTAGAAAGTCTATATTTCTAGTATTGGTTGTTTTTGTTCAGGTTGTCTGTTAGTGCAGAATGAGACTTTAGTGGACCATAACATTCTGAAGTAGGCTTAGCTACGGTAAAAGGTGCTGATGATTTCTTCCTAGTAAACACGTTCTTTCTCTTCTCATACAAAAGCTTTTCCAGTTTTGTTACCACAATTCAACTAGGCGATTTTTCTGAACAGCCTTCCTTAGAAAAGTTATAAAATTTCTTCTTCTGAATCCATTGTATCGCAGGACTCCAGTAAGGAGGAAGAAACTCTTAATGCAGCCCCTGTTATCACGGGCAATTTTATTGTTTATTTGTTTTTGAAGATAACTTTGTCCCAGAGGCCACAGTATTTTGGGCCATAGCAAGGTAAGAATCTTTTGGCACGGGAAGCATGGTGTGAAGGTCAGGGGTGGTGTGGGGTATGCCCTTCCTGGTGGAAGGGGCTGCCTTGCGAGCCCCCACAAACCCATGAGCTGACTTCAGTTCTGATGTGTCACAGTGCGTGGTGACACATGCTGTATGAGTGGCACCCAGTTCTTTCTCTTCCACCCTTGATGTGCAGCAGTGTAGTTGCAGAGTAGAAACTGCATTAAGAGCACCCTTCAGTTTACTTGTAAGCTGTTCTTGGGAAAACATATTTGTAGATAAAGCCTAATATAGTATGCCAGATTTTATTTACAAAGGGGAAACTTCTTTCTGATTTTTAAAAAAATAAATCTCATGGCTTTTTTGTGCCCTGTACACTACCTCAGAATGAAAAATGCCAATTGTATTCTGCTTCTGTGCATTTGGATTCATTGTACAAAAACTGAACTAAGCTGACTGCATCAGTTGCTCAACTTCTGATGGACAGATTGGTGCAGTTG